TCCTTCCTTCCTTCCTTCCTTCCTTCCTTCCTTCCAAGTAAGCTCTATGCCCAATGTGGGGCTTTAACTCATGACTCTAAGATCAAGAGTCGTATGCTCTACCGACTGAGCCAGCCAGGCGCCCCTCGTTTGGAGAAATTTCTATTCAGATCCTTTGCCCATTTTATTTTTTTTATTTTTTGGCTTTTCTTTTAATTTAAATTATGCTTAGTTAACATACATGGCAATATTGGTTTCTGGAGTAGAATTCAGTGATTCAAATATTGGCTTTTAAAAAAAATTATTAATACGGAGTCAACTGCTTCCTTATTGGAGATCTCTAGTCAAAGGTGAGCTCAAATTTGAGGTGGGTGCTCCAGGTAAGGCCCCTTTCTCCTTAGACCATGCCTCTACTCTTGAGGATGTTCCCAAGAGAGGTGTGTGCCTGAGAATCTTTGGTCCTAATTCTTTGCTCCTTCCTCTAACCACACCCTTTGCCAGGTAACGTGGCTAAATGCAAATGCAGGACCCTGCCCTTTGATTTGGGGCTCAGACATGGTACTTAAGCCGACCTCTTTCTACTGTGCCACTTCCAAGCCTAGGTTGTAAGGTGGCTTGGGTGTTTTGCTTGCCCTCTTGTGCCCCTGCTGTCATCATGAAAAGAACACACCTGGCTAGGGCGCCTGGGTGGCTCAGTCGTTAAGCGTCTGCCTTCGGCTCAGGTCATGATCCCAGGGTCCTGGGATCGAGTCCCGCATCGGGCTCCCTGCTCAGCAGGAAGCCTGCTTCTCCCTCTCCCACTCCCCCTGCTTGTGTTTCTGCTCTCGCTGTCTCTCTCTGTCAAATAAATAAATAAAATCTTTAAAAAAAAAAAAAAGAACATCTGGCTAGCCAACTGGTCAAAGGTGGATGAGAGACACTGCAAACAGTGTAGAACAGACCCATACCTGACCTTCAGCCTGGAGCTGCCCATCTATGCCCGTCATAGCTCAGCTGAGCCAGGCCAGGATCCCTTTGCCCATTTTATTTTATTTATTTTATTTTTTTAAGATTTTATTTTTTTGACAGAGAGAGCACAAGCAGAGGGAGAGAGAGGGAGAAGCAGGCTCCCTGCTGAGCAAGGAGCCCGATTTGGTACTCGATCCCAGGACCCTGGGATCATGACCCGGGCCAAAGGCAGACGCTTAACCGACTGAGCCACCCAGGTGTCCCCCTCTTTGCCCATTTTATTTATTTATTTATTTTTAAATGTTTTATTTATTTATTCATGAGAGTCAGAGAGAGAGAGAGAGGCAGAGAGAGAAGCAGGCTCCCCGCCTAGCAGGGAGCCTGATGCGGGACTCGATCCCAGGACCCTGGGATCATGACCTGAGCCGAAGGCAGACGCTTAGCCATCTGAGCCACCCAGGTGCCCCTCTTTGCCCATTTTAAAAGTGAGTTATTCTTCATTGTATTATTGAGTTTTGTGAATTCTTCATATATTCTACCTGCAAGTCTTCTATCAGATATGTGATTTGTCAATACTTTCTCCCATTCTGTGGGTTGCCTTGGTGGAGTTTCCAGTCTGATTGGGGAGAAAAGACAAACACAGGGAAATGGGTGGTAGGGAGGAGGTGTGGAGGGGAGAGGCACTGTATGGGGAGGCCTAGGGTGAACTCTCTGAGTTTCAGGGTTGTCCACCTGAGTAGTAAGTGGACTGGATGAGCTGCTCTGACATTGCCATGGTTCTGCAGGCAGGAATGTATGTCATTGTATATGCAGTGCTATGTGATCAGGCATATATGCTAAGTGTCAGGGACCTGGCATCTTACAAGACCAGGAGCATGGAGTGGGATGGAGGGAGCAGGAGGTTCTTTCTTAAGAAAGGAGATTCCAATTGCAAACTTCCACAGGACTAATGGGTTACCTTGGAGGCAGCATGATGTGGCTTGAAAGCCAGATGGATTTGGGTTTAGATCTTGGTTGTAGTAGATGCTACCACATAGTGCTCTCTCCATTCTTCCTTAACCATTTCTGATGACTTCTCACTGCAAGCCCCTGGGATTTTCTGCCTGAGGGCTTTCTCTGCTCAGAAGGCACACAGGAAAGTCTGAAAGTGCCAGGAGCAGCTCTCAACCCTTAGTTTCCTCATTTGTTTGGTGGGACAGCTGTGTTGCACTCTGCACTGTGTCGAGGGGTCCCCAGTAGGATGCCCTCCCCCCCACCATTGCCCACAGTGGTAACCTGCTCATTATTGCACCCCGAATTGGTTTCCATTCATTTATTTGTTTCAATTTCCTCCACTCCTCTACTAGTGCTTCCTGAGATGATTTCTCAAAAAGACCATTTGTACTCACATCCTTATTCCGGTGTCTGCTTCTGGGGAAACCCAACCTAAAAATACTGGTTCTTCCATTTCTTAGATACATCCATTTCATTTCCTTGGGCAGAGCACTTTACCTTTTGAACCTCCCTTTCCTCGTGTACAAATTGGGGATAATAACACAACTTCATGGAATAGTCATGGGGCTTAGCATCTCACTCAGACATATTAAGGGTTTAGTAAATGCTAGAAAAATCTTCTTTTATTTTCAGTTGCTTACTGGCCTGTAACATAGATACTATCCCAGAGACCCTTTGGTGGACATGCCTCATTCAACCATAGCTGGGCAAGAATAGACAAGCAGCCTGGATCTGGTCCTATGAGTGACTGGATTCTTGCTCCCAGTTACTTGCTGCCTCCCTGCAATTAGACATCCCCACTGTTTGTCATGCCTTGCATCCTCTAGAGAGAGCATGTCTTCTGTCTTTCATATATTAGCCATATGACATGCTTTGGTGAATGGCATGTGACATTCGCCACATGTGAGAAGAAGCTCTAAATATATTATTGCATGGTTTGTCTAAGGCTTTTTCATTCCTGCCCTTAACCATGAGAAAGACATGTTCCCAGGGCTTAGCATACAGTATAAACAAGCACTTATTAACTGTGTAAGAGGCACTGTCCTTGTGTTACATGTGTCTACATGTGTTAATTCATTTCATTGTCACAGAAAACCTAGATACAGGTCCTGTTATCACCACCCTTGTTTTATATATGTGGAAAACTAAGGTTCAGTAAGAATGAGTACTTTGATCAAATTAACACAGCTGGGGAAAAGCAGGCAGTCTGCTTTCTAGGTCCATATTATTATTTTTTTCTAGGTCCATATCCTTAACTACTGCATTATGCTCTTTCTCATTGTAGGTGATCAGCAAATGCTTGTTGTCTAAAAGTTTGTTTAAATGATTGTCGTCACTGACATTGTTCCTTTCCATTTACCCACACTCTGAAGGTGTAATCTACTGGACAAAGATGGGCTTATGACTTTGGACCTGGATACTTTTCCTGCCTTCGTTGTTGGACAAATAAGAGGCCCTTCTGATTCACCTGACTGGGAAAAAGTCATCTGAGGTCATCAGATGGGAACCCAAACATTTCTCCTGTAGGATCCACATGAACCACAAGATATCTTCTGTGAATTCTATGTGGATCCCAGACATATACCTTGTAAACTTCAATGTGGACCTCAGACCCCTCTTCTAAATGCTCATGTAAACCCCTATATCTTTCCCGAGGCTCACATGGACTCCCAACATCTCTCCTGGAGGAGCCATGTTTGACAACGTCCTCAGATTCCCATTCCTCATCTTATTGGGTCCTCCCCAGAGCTCTGTAAATCAGCTAAAGCTTGCATTATAGCAGGGACAGAGAACAGTGACCATGTGAGTGAACCAGGGACAGGACTAACAGCAGAACCCAGGGTCCCGCCCTGTAGCACATGATTCTCCCCTCCTGATTGGCTTGGTAGCTAGATTATACTTCCTACTCAAACTTCCGTAACCCCTGAGACTCCCTTCCTTCTCTTCCCTCTCCTTCACTATTTCTGGTCTGCCTTTCTTCCCTCCCACCCCCTTTCCAACCCAGCTGTGGGAGTGCAGCCCCACTCCCAGCAGGCTAGAGCCAGACAATGGGCCCTTATTCTGGGCAAAGAATTCCCTCAGTGTCTCCCACCCACTGAGGCCCCCTTCCAGGCCCAGGATGGTGTGAGTGGAGGGCACTGTGGAGGGCAGGAGCCATTGGCTGGGAGGACAGAGGGTGGCCCTGGTTGTTGAGATCCCACAGGAGGTTTGCAATGTCAACACTGTTCACAATAAAAGCTTGTCTTTCACTCCCAGCCCCATCTTTCCAAGTGGGTCTCTTAACCGTCATTAGTTCCAGGTTTTTAAATATTTACCCTGGTCTCTACTCTCTTTAGGTGTTCATCTTTGCCTATCACAATCTCTTTCATTCTTTTTTCTGTGTCTCTCTAAACTTCTGTCTTTCTATTCCTTTGTGTAGCTTGCCTGTCCCTATTTCTAATCTCTTTCTCACTTCATCATGTTTCTTTTTCTCTCTCTCCTATTTTCCCATGTCTTTTTTCTTTCCAAATCTTGATCTCTCCGTGTCTCTCTATCTCTGTCTCTCCGTGTTTCTATGTTTCTGTGTTCGTGGCTCTCCTCTCGTCTTTCTATGTCCATCTTTCCATGGATCTTTGTGTCCATTCTCCTTATGTCTTATCTCTGCTTCATCTATGATTTTCCATCCTCTATCCTCTGTCTGTCACTTCGGCCTGTGGATCTGAAGGACCTTCATCAGGTATCCTGCTCACAAAGCTCTTTCTCTTTCTTTCTAGTACGGTCCCAGCAGCCCCTAGGATCGGCATTATTGTCCCCAGTTTACAGATTTGGAAGCTGAGGCTCTGGCTACTGGTACCAGGCTCCCATCTCTGGGTCTTTTTCTCCACGTTCTAGTTCTCTGTGTACTCTTGTCCTCTCCGTGCCCACCAACCACCTGATCGGGCCGTGCCTGGGAACTTAGCACCTCGGACAGTTCCTGTAAGGTGAGGGGGTGGCCAGGCCTTCCTTCTCGCGAGCGCAGGAGGAGCAGCCCTAGAGGTGGCGCGGGAGTCTCGCGAGAGCGGCTGCTGCTGCGGGCGCGGGTGGCGCGGGCGCGTGAGGAGCCGGCCCGAGGAGCGCGCGCGCGCTCCCCGCCCCCAGCCCCGGAGCGGCTCGCGGCAGGCTCCGCGCCGCATCTCTGGGCGAAGCGCAGCGCAGCGCTGCGGCCTTTCGGCAACCGAGCGGCAGCGGCGGGTGAGTCCTGGGCCTGAAGACCCGGAGAAGGGCTTTCGAGGGAAGCTGGGCGCAGGGCGAGATGTGGTCACCCACTCTCCAGCTTTGTGCCCCCTACGCTTCACCTTTGCATGCAGGGGCAGGCCGAGCTGCTGGAGAGGTGGGGAGTCGAGGTGACCTTCCCAATTTGGGGCGGGAGAAGATCGTCGCAGGTGCCCCCAGGTCCCCCAACCCCCACCATCCCCATTCCTGGCTCCCGCAGAGGGAACCCGGGTCTTGGGTGACGTCAGACCCCTGGATTCTGGAGCCTGGGCCTTGGGCCCTCCTTCCCCCCAGCCCCACCTGGTGTTCCCTGGAAACCAGCCGCCTCCTCCTGGGGATGGCGCACGCGACTGGTGGCGGGGTGACAGTGGCCTCCTTTGGGTCCTTCCTCACAAGAGGTGCCTGCAGGTGGACCCAGGCTGTGTCCCCGTCGCCTCCCTTGGTTTGCCGACCTTTAGTCGGCGGGGGATGGGTGCACTGGCTTGACGGAGCCTGGGCTCCCCTAGGGTTTTGGGGTGGTGAGTTGGGAGTGCCGGATGTAGCTCATTCCAATATTGGCAGGAGTTGGCTATGAGGATGGGAGTGAGGTGTTTGGGAATCTATCCCTGTCCCTGCCTTGAGGAGCTCCTGGCTTGGGGGTTGGGGAAACCAAGTAGAGACTCCTACTGAGAATTCACCATCTCTGGCGGTTCAAACCGGTAATGCCCCAGCTGCGGGATGGGGAGATCAGCTAGGGCCTGGCAGACTTTCCCAGGGAGAGAAGGAGAAAGGGAGGCAAGAGCCAGTGAATAGACTTCCTGGGGGAGGGGAGATTTGGATGGGGGAGAGTCAAGAGAGGGCATTCCCTGGGAGTGGTATGGGAAAAGAGGTGGGAATTAAGCACACCTGTTGGGGAGGCGCGCCTGTGACCCAGCCATGTGACTGTGCCCATGGGGTAGGGGAAGTCTGGAGAATTTTGCAGCCTGTGCTTTGCCTGCTTTACCTGCACAGGCGCAGGGCTCTGAAAGAGGGAGATGGTTCTTGCAGGGGCATGACCGACAAGAGATTTTGCTTGGGGCTACACAAATCTTGCTAGTTTAGATCTGACCTGGGCTTACTTGGTGGGCCTGAAGGCAAAGTCCCTAGAGCTGAGAGAGGGTGTCTCTGGTGAATGGGTCACAGAAAGAGGGTCTTAGGTGTAGCAAACCCTGTGGAGAGTTAGTGGGGTCCTGGGAGGAGAGCTCTGGATAGGGGCCTCTGAACAAGTAGATTCCCCTCTTGGGCGGCTCTTTGCCAGCACCTTTCTCTGGGGACGAAATAATAGGACTAAGTACTGTCCTCCCTTGAGGAAGCTGCTTGTTCTAGTTTAGAGTGTCCCTCCCAGTTCTTTCTTTTCCTTTCCTCCCTCCTCCCTCTGCGTCCCTGCCCCCTCCCCACAGCATTTCCTCTACAGGCTGCACTTCCTTCGCTGCTGACAGCCTGGAATCTCTGAAGGCTGCCCGGAGGAAGTTTGGTACACGCAGGGTTGACAGAAGTTGTGGGATTAGCCTGACTGAGGGAGGGCAGCAGGTGCTCCACTCGCACCCCCTGGGAGGGTTTTCCAGTCTTAAGCAAGAACAGGGATTGACTGTGCTCTGTGCCGTGCCCTGTGCTGGGTCCCTCCTGGAAGTCTCATCCATCAGGGAATGAGGAGAAGATTGGATGAGAATGAGTGAGCACTTGCTGCCCAATAACTGGTTCAGAATTTAAGCAGTGGGATGTATGGCATGGTTGTCTGGAAAGGCTTCCCAGAAGAGGTGGGATGTGAGCAAATAGTAGGACTTAGAGTTGACAGGGTTTAGGGGCACTGGAAATCGAGGGGGTGGCTAGACATGATCTCCTGCATGAAACTGGGTTGTGTGGGAAGCAGATCAGCCGGTGGTAGAGAAGCAAAGGTGGTGGTTTGGGAAGTTTGTAGCTGATTGACACAAGGCCTGGAATGCCAGGCTCAGAATCAGCAGGGGTGCTGAAGAGTCATCATAGGACAGTGATAGCAATGCAAGGAGAGTGCTGTTTTCTGAGGATGATTCATAGTTCTGGGACTCCAGGACTGGGGATGTGTGGCTTGGGGTGGGATAAGGGGACCAGAGGTAGAGCAAGAGTGGGGAACTTCCATCTTAGCAGCCTTGCTTTGTGCTCTGGCTTCTCTTGCACTGAGTCATCCATGCTTTCCTACACTGACTTCTCTGTAACCATGGGCACACCTTTTGGAGACAGCATGGGAGCAGGATGGGGGTCAGGCTGGAGCAGGGTTAGAGTCTCCTCCTTTGAGTCTTCCACAATCTAAGTTATTATCTGCAATCCCCCTCCCCCCGTCCCTCCTTATTTTCATGGAGGATTTTATTTTATTTTATTTTATTTTAAAGATTTTATTTATTTGACAGAGAGAAAGACAGCCAGAGAGAGGGAACACAAGCAGGGGCAGTGGGAGAGGGAGAAGCAGGCTTCCCACGGAGCAGGGAGCCTGATGCAGGGCTCGATCCCAGGACCTTGGGATCATGACCTGAGCCGAAGGCAGATGCTTAACGACTGAGCCATCCAGGCGCCCCTCATGGAGGATTTTAGTGCTGGACCATGGTCTTTCACTTCATTGCCTCCCTTTACCACCCTTTCTCCCAGCCACATTTGAGTCTGGTCATCACTGGCATGTGACTGCCTCTGAAATCTTAAACTCCAGTATCCTCTGAGCACAGTCCAACTTCTGTTTTATCTGCTTTGTGACCTCAAGGAGACCTCTAGTTCTCTGGCCCCTCCATTTCCTCTGTCCCATGAACATGACACTTTCCATGTCCTTCCTGGACCCCATGGTGCAGGATTTTAACCATTCTCTGGCTCATGCCCTCAACAGCCATACCACTTTGCCTGTGTGTCCCACTCCAGCAGCAGACCCCTCATTTCTGGATTCTACACTCAGAATGCCGAAGTTTCTGGGGGCTGTCACATACCAGGGCAGTCTGGTTCTACGTCTGTGCCCGGTCTCCAGCTTCAGCTGTTCTTCTATCACTTGTAGAAACCCTTCCCCTCTTCCCATCAGCTCCCCATTCCATTTTGTGGGAGAAGTATCTCAAAGTGGACTACTCTCCCAAAGCCCTTTACTCCCAGGGAGGGGGGGTTGGGTGGGCGTGTGGGAAGTGAAATTACATCCAGGTTTCCCCATTTCTTGAATTCGATTTCCTAAATCACAGTGGAAGGAGGGCTCCAGTCTAATGTGCCTACTCTGTGCTATGGATGCCGGCCCTTCCTGTCTCCCAGGGTCCCGGGGCCCATCAGCTGTTTCACCTCTATTGTGTAGCTTCACTCTCCACTGTTTTCCCTAATGCCTTCCTCCCATTTCTAAATATATACATATATATTCAAGGATTCTACCTCAATAAACTTTTCTAACCGTATGTCCTCCTCCAGCTGCTGCTGTTTTAAACCTATTGCTTTGTCCTACTGCAAAAGTGATATGAGACCATTGTAGAAATTTTAGAAAATAAAGATAAAAGGAAAGAAAACAAATAACTTACAATCTCATTATCCAGAGATGACTACTCTTCATCTTTTGGTACATGGTGTTTCAGTGTTGTCACTGATACTCTGTGTGTGTGTGTGTGTGTGTGTGTATTAAAATTTCAGCCAATTTTTTTTTTGAAAGATGAGTCTGCTAGACTTGTCCCTTCTTCCTCTCCCTCTTGTTTTCATTTCTTGGCAGCTGGCCTCTACCCCACCACTTCCTGAAGCTGTGCCCTCGGAATTGCCAGATCGGCCCGTGACACACCTGGTCGCTTCACAGCCCTGATGGTGTCGATCCAGTTGATCAGTCACTAAAAATATTGAGATAACCTGAATCACTGGCATGAAAAAATTTTCGAGAGATGTTGTTGAGTGGAAAAAAACAGGTTATAAAACAGCATGTATAAAACGATCTCATTTTTGGGGTGCCTGGGTGGCTCAGTTGGACCTCATGCTTCTCCCCTTTTTAGGGGCTCGCTTCATCGGTTAACCTCTGTTTCTGTTGTAATCACACCTTTTCCCTGGATCTCTCCCACCTCTAGCTTATTTCCATCTTAAACAAACAACCATCAACTGTAGCCCTCCCTGGACCCATATCCCACCTAGGTAGTATCTGTCTCTGTTGTCTTCCTAGGCAGGCTTCTTCAAAGAGCTGTCTATACCTGCTCTCAGCTTGCATGTTCAACTAGCTCTAATTTGACTTCTACTCCTGCTCCCCCTCCCCCAACCCCGCTCCAGGGCCATCAGAACCATTCTTGCTGCGGTCACAGATGACTGACTGGTTGTTGTTCAGTGTTATACACACTTCAGTGTTCAGCCCTTCTTATGCCAGACCTCTCCGTGGCATCTGTCATATTTGTCCATTGGCCACTCCTGGCTTTGGAGACTCCATGCTCTCCTGGTTTTCCTCCTGCCTCGGTGGCTGCTCCTTCCCATTCTTTGCCAGCCCATCCTCTTCTGCCGGGTTTGTTTGTTTTGTATTTTTGAACAGGTAGTACATTTACATGATTTTTTTAAATTCAGAAAGACGTTCCAAGTTTCACTGATTCTAAGATCACCATTTTGATATTTCTGAAAATGTTTTAATATCTGTGTCTTAAAAATTTTTGGCATCTGAACAATTAACAAGTTGGCAGTGTATTTTCTTTTGTTTGGTAAATAAGATAATGATTTATCTTAAAATTGATGGTGTCTTGGATTAGCTGGTATAAAGATACATGGTAAAAATTATTCCTCCCTCCTGCTCCATATCTATTCAGTTCTTCTGTCCCTCGGGGAGCCACAATTACTGCTTTTTAAGTAACCTAAGAATTGCGCCACCGACTGAGCCAGGCAGGTGCCCGTGGACGTTGGCATTTTTTAACAGCCCAGGCCAGTTTAGTTTTTATTTATTTTTATTAATTATTATTTTATTTTTAATAGTCACTCATTTTCTTTATTTATAGATTTATTTATTTATTTTTATTTTTTTATTTTTTATTTTTTATTTTTTTTTTAAGATTTTATTTATTTATTTGACAGAGACAGACACAGTGAGAGCGGGAACACAAGCAGGGGGAGTGGGAGAGGGAGAAGCAGGCTTCCCGCAGAGCAGGGAGCCCGATGTGGGGCTCGATCCCAGGACCCTGGGATCATGACCTGAGCCGAAGGCAGACGCTTAATGACTGAGCCACCCAGGTGCCCCTATTTTTATTTTTTTAAAGATTCCATTCACTTATTTATTTTGAGAGAGAGAACGAGAGAGAGAGAGAGAGCATGAGAGGGGGGAGGGTCAGAGGGAGAAGCAGACTCCCCGCTGAGCAGGGAGCCCGATGTGGGACTCGATCCCGGGACTCCAGCATCATGACCTGAGCCGAAGGCAGTCGCTTAACCAACTGAGCCACCCAGGCGCCCTAGATTTATTTATTTTAGAGAGAGAGCACGCTCACATGAGCAGGGGGAGGGGCAGAGGGAGAGGAAGACAAGCAGACTCCCTGTTGAGCAGGGAGCCTGTCATGGGGCTTGATCCCAGGACCCTATCCCAGGACCCTGAGGTCATGACCTGAGCTGAAATCAAGAGTCGGAGGCTTAACTGACTCAGCCACCCAGGCGCCCCAGGCCAGTTTAGTTTTTAGAATGCTCCACAACTTGGATTTTTCTGCTTGTTTCTCATGATTGGATTCAAGTTAAACATTTTGGGGCAGGAATACTACATAGGTGATGTTGTGTCCTTGTTGGTGCATCATACTGGGAGGCCATAATGTCTGTCTGTCCCGTTATCGGTAATGTTGTTTGATCACTTGGTTAAGGTTGTATCTGCCAGGCTTCTTCACAGTAAAAGTGCCTGTGCCCCTCTGTAGTTAGCAAGTCATCTTTGCACTGGTACGTTGAGACTGTGACTCTCCTCCCCACAGTCTCTGATCCAGTGGTTTTGGCAGCCATTGATGATCCTCGCCTGAATCAGCAGTTACATTGGTGACTGTGGAACTGGGAGATTTTTTAATTCTATCACTCCTACATTTATGGCTACCTTTCTTCTAGAAAGAAGAGCTCTTCCCTCTCTTTTTAAAAATAAGAGTGTTCCTTTGGAACTCATTGATTATTTTTTTTCACAAAATAGTGATACTTGTTTTTGACTTTTACATTTTATTTTTTATTTTATTTTATTTTTTTTTAAAGATTTTATTTTTTTTGTCAGAGAGAGCACAAGCAGGGCGAGCGGCAGGCAGAACAGGTAGAGGGAGAAGCAGGCTCTCCGCCCAGCAAGGAGCCTGATGCGGGACTCGATCCCAGGACCCTGGTATCATGACCCAAGCCGAAGGCAGACGCTCAACCAAATGAGCCATACAGGCGTCCCTGACTTTTACATTTTAAATAGCACTTATTATTCATCTTATTAAGAAAGTCATGTATATTCATTGTAGAGAATTAGGAAAATACAGAGGAGGATAAAGGAGCAGATTAAAATCCCCTGTGATCCCTGCCATCAAATGAAAATTCCTGAGAGCATTTTGGTGTATCATGGATTATTGTTTAACATTCAGGATGTCATATGTTACTGTCATTCATATTTTTGAGACTCTTAATTGTCTCAGATTTGGCTGGTGGTAGCTCTTTCAAACTGGTGTCCTTTTGACATGCGTCCATTTGTTGAATACCTGCTTATTTCTGGTACCACAAGATGTTCTAGGCTATCCTGGTATTTCCTTGTCCTGGCTTGAGACCAGCCATAGATGTTTTTTAAGCCATGGGTTCATACTGACTCCTCCATTTCAAATCCAACAGCGCAGGGCTCTTATCGTCCCACTTTGCATATTCTCTCCCCATATTTTAACAGTGAGAACCCAGGTCCCAACAATAAACCGTACACTGCTATGTCCTCTCCTGTGGGACACATGACAGAGTTTCAGCGTCACCACACTATATAAACCTGCTTATATTTAAGCTTTCTTTCCAGTTATTTTTATCCTTGAGATATATCCTTTTAAGAGAACACAGAGTGCTCTGATCAAGTTACTTGGCCAGTTCTTTTTTCTATGTGGTCATGTTATCAATGTCCTGTACAGTTAGTGTCATTTGCTTTTGTTTATTTCAAATTTAGGGTTTGCTTTTCTTTCTGGTGTAAGTTCTTGAGTATGTAAGATATTATATGTACAAAAGTATGTGCAAATCTTTACCCAGGGAAGTCTCACTAGTCATTGTAGCCCTTCTATCACGTAGGTGACCGTTTTATAGTGTCTGGTTTACTTTTCCTGAGTTTCTTTTGGAAACATAAGCAAATTCGTATGCAGGTTCTTCTCCCCCCACTTTTTTTACATAAAAAGTAGCATACTATTTATACTTTGCTTTTTTTCCATTTAATCATTCCACAGCAATTAATAGAGATCCTCTTCATTCTTTTTTACATCTATGTAGTACTCCATTGAATGATATACCATAGTTTATTCAAACAGCTGCATTTAGGTTACTAACAACATTTTGCTATTGCAAAATAGTATCACGTTGAATGACATGTAATTATTGTTTCTTATTTGTGGGTAAAAAAGCAGAAGTAGGATTGTTGGGTCAAAAGGAAAAAATATTTTTATTCTCCTCTCCTCTCCTCTCCTTTTTTTTATTTTTACTATGAAAGATAGCATACTGTTTTGACTGTTCTATGTCTTTTGTTGCCTATTGTCTAGGTTGTCCTATATCTATGTAGTTTTTTCAATGACTAGTAATCATGGAGATCTTTCCACAGCAGAGAGCATTTTAAAAACTGCAGAACAGCCCATTGTATGACTGTACTGTTTATTTCATCATCCCCAATTGATGTGTAGATTTTTCCAGTCTTTCGGTGTTACAAACAACGCTACAATTAATGCAGCTGTGTAAGGGGATCATTTCATGTAGGTTTCTACCATGCCTGTCTTTTTCCCTTTTGTGGTAGATGTTGTTGGGTTTTTATATCTATATTTGATTTCATATCACAAAGGGGCCATAAAAGATTACAACTGCCCAAATCTTTAGTAGGATCCAGAGAAATTTGACTGGGAGGGTTTTGTTTTTATTTTTTTAATGCAAACTTTAAAAAAAAAAGATTTTATTTTGTTTGTGTGTGAGAGAGAGAGAGAGCACGCGTGTGAGAGAGCATGCATGAGCCCAAGCCAGGGTGGGGGTGGACAGAGGGAGAAGCAGACTCCCTGCTCAGCAGGGAGCCTGATGAGGGACTTTCTGGGATCATGACCTGAGCCGAAGGCAGTTGCTTAACCAACTGAGCCACCCAGGTGCCCTTAAAGCAAACTTTTAATTGAAGTATAACACACAAGAAAGTGCACAAATTGTAATCTCATGCTTGATGAATTTGCACAAAGTTGACACCGTGTAACCAGCTCCCAGACCCAGGAATAGACCATTACCAGTACCTCAGCTTATGCTCCCTGCTTCCTCAAAGTTAACACTATCTTGACTTTAATTTTTTATTTTTTGCTACCCCGCATATTGACTTTTAATACCTTGCTATGTATAATGCATATTTTCATGATAGCCACCCTTCCCTTTTAGAGTATGCACTGCACAGGTTTCATGCAGAGGGCAGGAACCACATCTGTCTTTTTTTTTTTTTTTTAAAGATTTTATTTATTTGACAGAGAGAGATACAGTGAGAGAGGGAACACAAGCAGGGGGAGTGGTAGAGGGAGAAACAGGCTTCCCACTGAGCAGGGAGCCCAATGCGGGACTCGATCCCAGGACCCCAGGATCATGACCTGAGCTGAAGGCAGACGCTCAACCACTGAGCCACCCGGGCGCCCCGGAAACCACATCTGTCTTACTCACGCTGCCTCCCCAGTGCCTGACACATTACACATCCCCAGCAAATGACTGAAGGCAAAGGCCAGCGAGAGGGGAGGCCAGCCTGTGACTGATGCTAGGTCTGTCATGTTCAGGGTCAAGGTTCTCTTTCAGAGGTCTCTAGTCTCCTTAGGCCTTCTCTGTCACTTGCCTTTGCCTCATGGGGTCCCTTCCCAGGTTCCTTCCCCACCCTTGGATAGGGTTTTCTGAAGATAGACACTGTGCCTTGAGGCAAACGGCGGGAGGTCCTAGAAGGAGGTACCCGGTGGAGCTGTCTCCACTGGGCTCATCCCACTGTGGGTGTTAGAACCAGTTTCTGCCCCAGGGAGCTTCCAGCCCTGCAGGGGCTGAGAGAGGGTCTGGGTTGCACCGGGCCTGATCCTTATCCTGCTCGGGCTTTTCTTTCCTTCCAGGTCAGGACAAAGAGGCGTGGGCAGGCCGCTGGGCCGGCTGGTGCCATCCGTGCCATCATGGCAGGTAAGGACAGTGTCATGTGGATAGGACTTGCAAGCGAGCAGAGGGTGGGTGGCCCCCTTCCTAGTTTCCTTATCCCCTTTAGTTTTTGGAGGTCACGTTTGTTCTGTCCTGTCCCCAGGCTTTCCCCGGTCCCCCACTGAGCCCTGTCTATCCAAGACCCTCAGCCTGACACTGTCTAGCTCTCTGTCAGGTCTCTGACTGTGGGAACCAGAGATTGAGCATCCTGATGCCCTGGTCCTGCTGGCCACCTGACTGATAAGCAGCACAGGTGGCTCAATCCCTGTCTCCTCTGTCCCCATTGCTCTTTAATACTCTGAGACCCTTTCCTTCAGATTTCTGAGTTGTTGGTTTCCAAAGGCTCAGGTACAGAATGCCAGAGCTGGAAGGACCTTTGGAGACTATCTAGCTCAAGCCCCACCCCACCGGCTAAACGGATAACATGAATATTGGAGTGGACACGGGAACCCCTGTCTCCAGGCTCACCCATCCTGCTTCATCTGCCTGGAACCGGACAGCATTTATTATTTTTCCTCTGAGAGACTGCAACACTGCTTCAGGGCCTTTGGTTACTTTGGGAACCTCAGAGCAGACTTGAGGAAGCAGGGATGGCTGGGTGGGGTTAGCCGTGCAGCCTGTGACCTCGGGCCGGGGGCAGCTGAAACCAGGGCAAGAGGATCATACTGGGTTGTCGGGGAGGGGAACATTCAAGGTGATGCCATGCCATATGCTTCACCCACAGAGAAAGTGAACAACTTCCCACCGTTGCCCAAATTCATCCCCCTGAAGCCATGTTTCTACCAAGACTTTGAGGCAGACATTCCTCCCCAGCATCTCAGCATGACCAAGCGCCTCTACTACCTCTGGATGTGTGAGTGCTGTGTGATGGGGGTGGGCCGTGGAAAGCTGGGGGAGGAGGAAGGAAGGCTGGTAGGTGCTGGGCATCAGGGTGGGGGGCCTGTAGGCCTGGCTGCCCCTCAGCCACACTTGCAGTATCTGCATGGGCCATCTCCCAGCAGCCTCCTCTCATGGGCTGATCCCCAATCTGGGCCCCAGTTTCCCCCATCCCCCCCACCCTCTACTTTCCATTCACAGAGCATCTGGATGAGGGTCTCTGTCCACAGGATCATTTCTCTTTTCTTGTTCTCCCTTCCCCTTCCCACTGGGGTGGTTTTCCAGGGAGCCTCTGGTGGCTGCCAGGACCTCGGGATTCTGGATTCATAGAGGAATCCTTGTCTCAAAGCCCCGTTTGTCTTGCTTTCTTCGTAAAACTCCTCAGAGAAAAGAGCATTAACTGGGAGTTGGGAGATATAGGATCAAACTGGGCTGGTTGTCCTACTTCCCAAGCAGCAGGTTCTTCACTTATAGAAAGAGAGTGTTGGCTTAGTGATCACTATGGTTCCACGGAGTTCTGTGTTGTGTGGTCTGTACTTCTCTAAGAATCTAGAGTTCTAACGTTCTACAATGTTGAGGTCCAGAGTGTCAAGTTCCTAGTAGCTGATGGTCGGTGGCAGGTTGGCAGGAAAGTGTCATCGTAGAGAGATGTGACTTGGCTGCGCCCAGGCTAGTCAAAGGTACCTCTTAGGAGTGTATAGGGAGGGCAGGCTGGCTTTCCCGTGCTGGGTATTGGCCTCAAGGACTCTTAGACCTGCAGTGTAACCACAGCCAGGGTCTGTCACAGATGATGTTGCCTTGAGTCAGCCCACACTTAGCTGCTGACTTGGGGAGGTGATTGCTTGTGCCCAGAAGGAAGTAAAGGATGCTGTCTTTGCAGGTTCTTCATGGGGTGGTAGAAAGAGTGTGGGGGTAGACAGACTCTGTTTCAAGTCCTGGCTTGGCCTTTGAGTGGAGAAGGCATCTTTCCCCATGTAATGCAAGGGAAGGAAGAGATGGGGGCAGGTGCAGGTAGGTCTACAGATTTTGGGAAGAGAATGAGGAGGTCGCCTCTGATGGCTTCTGTTTTTTCCCATCAAATGTGATGTAAAAGTGGGGATGGGAGCTTTGAGGAAGGAAAGTGGGATTAGAATGAGAGCACCTTTGTGGACAGAGGGTGAGGACACTATCCAAAGACATGTGACCCCCAAGATTTCTGGGCCATGCACAGGATCCATTCGATGTTGGCTGAATTGATAGTCCTACCGGGCTTTTCTGTAGGCTCCTTCTTTCCTAGCGATGTTCAGCTCAGGTACAGATGGGAGTTCTGTTCATCCAGGGGGAGTGTGAGCAGAAGATGGGGCAGGGGAGAGCATTAGAAAACATGTAATGAATTATGGAATCTAAGCTGGACAGGGAGAGAAGTGGAGATGGAAGAAAACTGAGTGGCCATGTTAATAGATGTCTGTTCCAAACAGGGGGTAGAATAATTACAATAGAAGCACTAGAACCAGTGAGCTGGAAAGAGATGGGACTGGAAGGAGAGATATAAACCAATATAAAAACAGGTTAATGTCTGTTCTATGTAAAGAGCAAATAAAATCAGTTCCGGGAGTTCCAGAGCTCTGGGACATTGGAGGGCAATAAACAGAGATGGAGGAAATGCAGCTGAAGTGCAGAGGAAGAAATGCTCACCCTTGTTATGAGGGGCTCTGAGATGGTTGTACCTGCACAGGTGACAGCATTGTCCCATTAGACTTGGGAGCACCCCATCTGTCCCAGGGCTCTGGGAACTCTGCCCCTGAGAAGATCTCATCCAGGAGCTGGATTTAAGGGCTATAAATACCTTCCTAAGTCCTCACTAGGCACCTGCCAGATGCTTTGCTCCCAAGGAAATGCATATGACCCTTGAGATGCTTAAGGGCTCTATTCAGAAGCCACGAGCAGATGCCTGGTTGTTTGAGGCCAAGATTGAGCCCCCCTGCCTTTGTTTATTCAGCAGGTCTTTGTGGAGCCTTAAAGGGACTCAACCTAATGTTTGAGGAAGGGAGCATCCTGATGTCAGAAGCCCTGGGTGTGTGTTAGTGCCAGCACAAGTCTTTGAGGTTTCTGCTGGCTGTGACTCGGTGATCCTGTGATTCTGAGTTCAACTAGAGTATGTGGGCACAGAGAGGTGGGAGCCGGGTTCTGCTCTTGGGGAGCTTCTAGTGTGGTTGATGGGCTGGGATTTGTACTTGGGGAACCATGCATGAGTGCAGCCCAGGTCTGCAGGAGGTCAGAGGGATGGGACATGAATAAGGCTGCAGTAGTGAAGGAAGGCTTTGTGGAGGAAGCGACGTGGTAGCTGTCTAACAAATGAATTAGATAAAGACTGAAATCCCAGCCATTGTTTCCTGCCCCATTTAAGAGCAGGGCAGATGGTACAGTGGCTTGAAGAGATGTTTCTACAAGGCCTTTTACTTTCCACTTTTGTGCCCCTTGCAAGAGAAGATGTAAGGGTTTCTTGTGCCTTGGGCTTGGTGATTGCTGTGAGTCTGGGAGGGCCAGGGGCTGAGGCCATTCTTATAAGGAGAAGAGCATTTCTACCACCTGGAGGCTTTGGGGCCCTTTGGTGGGGCTTGTTGGACTGAGGTTCTGGGTTCCTGCTCTGGAGACTCTCTGTTCTCTAGATTTCTCAGATCCCTCGGAGTGGGTGTGGGGAGGGGAATTGGTCTAAGCTCCCAGCTTTCTTTCTTACAGTCTGTACTCCTTCTGTGTGTGTATGTATGTGTGTCTCATGTATCTGTGTGTGTGGGTTCTGGGTGCGAATATCTGTAACTGTGGTTTTCATGTATGTTTGTGTGTATCTACCTCTCTGTGCATTGTGCTGTTTGCATGTGTTTGATTGTGGGTCTGTTGAATTATGGGTGTGTGTGTCCACGTCTGGGTGGTCACATGTCTCTGCATGGGCCTGGGTGTCTGTGTGCATGTCTGGTGTTTGTCTCTGTGCGTGCATGTGCTCCTGGGTCTGCAGTGAACAGCGTCACGCTGGCCGTGAACCTGGTGGGCTGTCTCGCGTGGCTGATCGGAGGCGGGGGAGCCACCAACTTTGGCCTCGCCTTTCTCTGGCTCATCCTCTTCACACCCTGCTCCTACGTCTGCTGGTTTCGGCCCATTTACAAGGCCTTCAAGTAAGTGGTTGCTGCTGACCCCAGCTCCTAACCTTGTCTCTTTGCCCATCTGCCCTGTTTCTTCTCTATTTTCTCACTTTTTTTTTGACCACCCCCCAAACTCACTTTCACTTGTTCACCCTCAGCTCAGACTGCCAGGTAGGAGGTGGGCTTCCTGCGAATTCAGTGCTGGGGATGAGAGAGCTGGGAGTCAGAGCCTTGGTTCCCTCCTTCCTCACTCCTCCCTTCCTTTCTCACTTCCTTGGGTGGGCATAACGGAGATGAGGCCTATCTTAGTTCTGCCTTCCCCAGGCAGCTGTATGTCAGATTTGCCAGTGGGGCCACCTGTCTCAGTGGAGCTGCCTATCTTTGCACCTGTGGGGCTATTTGATTTGGTACCAAGTGGACCATCTATCCATGTGCTAATGGAACTAGTCATCCATGCACTACTGACACTGTGTGCTAATGATGTCATCCAACTCTGTGCTAAAGGGACCACTCATCCATGTACGAGTGGGGCTAACTGTCTTGGGGCCAATGGGTGTCTACCTTGTGTAAAATGGATTTTCAATCTTGGTGCTAATGGAACTATTCATCCCTGTACCAACAAGGCTATCTATCTTGGTGCCAGTGGAGATTCTATCTCAGTGCTAACGGGGCCTCAAATGTCTTTGCCAACCAAATCATCCATCTGTATGCCAGTTAGGCTACTGTTTGGTGTCAGTAGGGTTCCATTCTTATACCAATGGGACTTTATGTCTCTTTGTTTATGGGAATGTCCATCCATGTACTGGTGGAGCTAGATATCTTGGTGCCAGTAAGGTTGTCCATCTCCTTGACAATGGGGTCATTTATTCTTGTCGTAATCGACCCATCTATTTCTATGCCAGCGGGGCCAACCATCCATGTACCGTCCATGTGAGTGGTCCATTTATGAGGAGATCTCTTCCTATGTAATGTTGCTCACACAAGACTAACACATGGAAACTTGCAAAGATTCATGTAAACACTTCCATTTTTGCCTCTCAATTAAGGCCTTTAAGTGTCTCCTGTCCATTGCTTACTCATTTAATCTTGGAAGGGCTGGGGGCTCCTGAAGACAGGGGAAGCCTTCGCCCTCTGCCCAGGTGATGAGAGTCATTTCCTCTGCTACAGGACTGACAGCTCCTTCAGCTTCATGGCATTCTTCTTCACCTTCATGGCCCAGCTGGTCATCAGCATCATCCAGGCTGTGGGCATCCCAGGCTGGGGCGTCTGGTAAGAGATTGGGGTGTCTGGGATGGACCCAGGGCTGGCATGGGTGGCACCTTGGGTGTGTCCTTTGTTTATGTCTGTGTGTCAGCTGCTTGGCCTGCAAGAGGATTCAGGGTAGGGTAGTAGACACAGGCACAGCAGCAGAGGGGAAGGAGAACCTTGCAGTAGTTCTGGGGGGTTTCCGGGGGTGTCAAGCATCACGGGAGAACCCAAGGGAAGGAAGCCTTATGTCTGAGGAGCTTGTCTCCTGAGCCACGGGAAAGGATTCTTCGGAACCACTGCCACAGGCCAGTTGGCTCATCTCTTTGCATCCGATGATATGGCCCTTCCCCGGGACAATGAAATGGCTCCTAGCTGTGGTGGGGGGGGCTCCCGGTTACCCCTCAACATGCCGGCAGCCCCACAGCTGGCCTCTTCCTGCAGCGGTTGGATCGCTACCATCTCCTTCTTCGGAACAAACGTTGGCTCAGCAGTGGTGATGCTCATTCCCACCATTATGTTCACGGTTGTGGCTGTGTTTTCCTTCATCGCCCTCAGCATGGTATGTGCAAGGTTGAGAGGGTGGCTTCGGGAAGGGGCTACGATCTGTAACAACCCCTCCTCCAAGTTACAGGAGGACCCGGAGGTCTTCCAAGGGACTCACTCTAGAATGGCTTGGCGGACTTTGCTCCTAGTACACAGGCGGCTGTGGGAGGGAGGATTGGCACTTACAGGGACTTGTCTCTGGTGTCCAGGTCTTTCCTGGATGGGCTTGTCCTTCCCTTTGATTAATCCTTCCTTGTGCTTCTCCTCCTACAGGTTCATAAATTCTACCGGGGCAGTGGGGGGAGTTTCAGCAAAGCTCAGGAGGAGTGGACCACAGGGGCATGGAAGAACCCACACGTGCAGCAGGCGGCCCAGAATGCAGCCATGGGGGCGGCCCAGGGTGCCATGAATCAGCCGCAGACTCAGTATTCCGCCACCCCCAACTATACATACTCCAATGAGATGTGAGCCAGCCAAGCCTACCAGGAGGGCAGGGCTGGGGGTCCGTGGGACGGGGACTCAAGCCACATTGTCTGTTGTGGTGACCAAGCAGGGTTCCTTCCTCCCTTTTCTCCTCCCCAACTTTGTACAAAGAATCAGAATTTTATATATATATATATATATATGTCTATGTCTATGTCTATGTCTTCCCCCGCTCCTTCGGATTCTGCTCGCAGTGCTCTGAGAGCTGTGGGCTGCACGTGGAGCTGTCCCGTGCGCTGGTAGCTATGTCCGTGTCCCCTTGTGAATAGTATGCAGTGGAGGTCTCTGTTGTTGTGGTGCTAGATGTATGTTTAGAACTAAACCAGCCCCCACCCTCCACCAGGGTGCCCCCTCTGACCTTGGCCCAGGGAACTCCTCATGGACCAGGGGGAGGCATAGCAGAAGGCCTGGTCCCCTCCCCAGGGTTATGAGCTGAAACTGTCTCCACTTTTGGTTTCACTGGGAAGCAACAGTATTTAGCACTCATGGGGGTGGTAGGTAGGAGGGTGGGGACAGGCCAGGGATCTTCCTTTGCTCCTTCTGATATGGTTTCCTCCCCCTCCTTCCCCTCCCTCCTCTCCTCTTGGTGTCAGATTCCCTGTGGCTTCTTTTCTTGCCCAGGGTCTCTCTCTTCCCCATGTGGCTTTTCTTTGTCTTCCCCAAGGCTGAGCGTCCCAGTTGTATATGCTTCTGAGACTGAGCCCATTCTCAGATCAAGGAAGTAGACAGGAGCTGAGCCTTAGGTGTGATGTGGGAGGGCACACAGCTAGAGATGCACAGCCCATCTCGGTACCCGACTCCCAGGGAGTGGAAATGCAGGGTCCTCTCAGAGCTTGGCCTGCAGGGGAAGGGGAAGGGGGGCTCCTCTCTTTTCTGTCCTGCTTCCCCTCCTCTTCCCAGAGCCCCCTTGAATCCCTCTGCCTGTGTTCCTCCCCATACCCCCAGCTGCTAGCCTACGCCCATCCCATGCTAGGTGGCATCTGCCATCTATGAGGGCTGATTCCACTGCCTTCTCTGAAGAGCTGGGTGGTGTCCACGTAATTTTCAGGTATAAAGGTACAGCTCGAGCAGAGAGTATGTGAATAATTATTTGTCCCTGAGTGAGATCTGACTGGCCCAAGCCCACTGGGCAGGTACTAGGTATCTCTGAATGACCGACCTCTGGATTCCTGAGAGCAGATAGCTGTTCTGCTTGGGTCTGGTGGAGGGGCAGGCTCAGAGGGCTGGGCCGGGAGGGAAGATTGGGGAGAAGGCAGGCAGGGCCCAGGGAGAGGAGAGCCTGCCTCCTCCCACCCTAGCTTGCTTTTGGTCACGGAACAGTTCTGGGCACTTGAACTCAGGGCCCAGGAAGAAGCACATGCCCAATCCTATCCATAAGCACAATGGCTGGAATGGGATTTCAGGTTAGGTGGGGTGGGAGGGGAAGCCTCTGACTTTTTTTTTTCCCCAAATCAAGATTACCTACTCCCATCTGCCTATTAGACTTGGTTTTTGGCCCTTCCTCACCCTGTCAGAACCCCCTTTCCCTTGCAGGATAGTGATTTAAGGCCTGTGGGGCTGTTCTGTTCCAAGCATTGTGAAAATGTCACTGGTAGAAGTCCTGGCTCTTTCTGAGACCTGGAGGGAGTGGATTCTCACCCAAGGAGCAGTTGCCTGTTTTTCATCTTCCCTTCTCCTGCCTGGGCTGTTTGGCCTGAAAATTTTGGCCAACCTCGCTTGGTCACTCTGGGTTGGCTCCAGCTTGGAACCTAACACCTGGGCTTCCAGGTGCCATCTTGAGCTTTGAGCTCCAGGCACTTCATTTTCCTGTAAGGGGAGCCAAGTCCTCTGAAAAGTTCTCTTCCTAATGGTCCCTTACACTTGGGCCAGAGTGTGATTGACTCTCTGCTCTACCATTTTCTCTCCAGAAAGCAGTTATCTCAGCCTCTAGTACCTAAAAAGAGACCCTAGGTCTAGGTTTTCTTTATCTTTCCTTTCCCCTACCCTAGACCTCTGGCTCCCTTTCTCATAGTGTGTCTGGTAACTCCAGGAGGCCTGTGGTAGTGCTCACTCCTGTTGGATGCCTCCTGTAGTCAATTTCCTGTCCTACCTGCCTCTCTTTCCTGGCCTAGACCTATATGGCTATGCCCTAGCTCTGCTCTTGGGAAGGCCTGATACCTGTATGTGACCCAGCTTGTCCAGGCCCTGGGATGCTGCATCTCCAGGCAACTATGCACTTTCCTAGGGAGGGAACCAGTATGAGAAGTGGGGGCTGGGCATGAATTCATCTCCGCTGGATGGTCTGTCTTGGGGGTGTGGTGGAGGAAGGCCCAGGTCACTTTTGGGAATCCTCAGGTCTGGCCAGCCAGTGACCTGTTTTCGCATTTTGCTGCCTCCTGCTCCCCCTTGTTTCTAGGAGACACAGACCATTGTCCAACTGGCAGTTGACCTGCCTGAGCTGATGTCTGTCTGTGGTAACTGAGTGAACCTTAATAAAGGGGAACATTTGGCCCTGTGTGTCCTGCTGCGTCATGTGTCTTCATGTGGGCCTGTGTGGAGCCTCACTGTGGGCTGTGGGACTTGGAGGTAGGGTGGGTCAAGTGGGTCTGTGGCCTGTCATTCCCCGGCGCCAAAAGTCACACACCTCTGTGTGATTCCTTCTGAGGCAGCCTTGAGTCGGCCTCCTTCCACAAAGGCCTCCTGCCTGTTAGAAGGAGTTCTGAGTTGCCTGAGGAGGAAGTAGAAGGCTGGATTAATGGGTGAGGGGTGGTTTGGTCCAGATGGTCGCTGCAGGCAAGGGCAAGGGTAGAACACAGAGGGCCCCCACCTCAGCTCTCACTGATGGAGACTGGCAGCAGATTCAGCGGCCTCAACAAACACAGGGCTTGTGGGGGTCTCGATGCTGGAGAATGAAGAAGGCAGCGAAGTGTACCCAATATGCTTTCTCCTGCTGCTTTCCTTTTGCCAATTCTGTGCCCTCCATTTGTATTGCTGTGCTGACACTTTAAGCTTCTGGTCATCCTTCAAGATTCAGCTTGAGTGACTCCTCTGAGAGGGCTTCCCTGCCTCTCGTTTGGTCCCTCTGCTCCCTCATGGAGGATCTATTCTGTAATTTCCTGTTCCCCGGCCAGTCTGAAGAGCAGGGGGGAGTCTGGTTTAGCTCCGTATCCTGTGCATTTAAAACATAGGAGAGGCTCGGCAAATGTTCAGTATAAAGTGTCCCAATGATGGGCATTGTGTATGTGTGGGATGAGGGTGTGGGGTGAGGAGGTGAGACAATTAGGCTAGACCCAGAAGAGGGCACCAGCACTAAGAACGGCAGGATTCTCCCGAGTGGACTACAACTACCAGGAGGCAGATACATAGACTACAGCTCCCAGAAGGCTGCGCGACATGTAGGCAGCCGGGCGCCCTCGTGAGACTACGTGCTAGGCGGAACAGCGTACGGGGCGGCTGAGATATCGCGATATTTGGGGCTGCCCGAGACGCGCCCGGCGTGGGTGAGGGGTCTAGGGGACCTTGGAGGCTGTGTCCTCTCGGCCCGGCGGTAGGGAGGCCCTGGGAGCTTCGCCGACTGTCGGTCCGCGACTATTTATGCGTGACCTCACTTTGGCCCGCGCGCGCGTGTGTATGTGTGTGAAGGTTGTGGGTCCGCGGGGGTGTGTGACCTCTGTTTCGTGTCAGTGCCCGTGAAGTTCAGCTCGCCACTGTGGGTTGGCGGCTGTGTCTGTGTGGGGACTGTTGCGCCTTTGGGACTGTACTTACCTGTCTGCCGGCGCATTTGGGACCTCTTCCTGGCTCGAGTCTGGAGTGGGGGATTTGTATTTGTGTGTTCCCACCCCTGCTTTGTGCTGCACTGCGATTGTTCAGTGCCTTTTTAAACTAGTTTAAAAGGTGGCCCCATCAGTTCCCCTTATTTTAAAAAATCGGTAGAAAAGAAAAAAGAAAGCCTTGGTATGTTGGAATTGTATCCTCTAGATCCGCCTAAAAGTGCTGATGGTTTTTAAAAATTAGAATGAGGCTAAATTTTACCAGAGAAAAACTTTCTCCTGTCCTTTAGAGGCCTATACCAGGCGATAAACAGGAGAGATTGCTATAGTCGGGGAATTGGTGAATGTTTTGGGAGTCGGGTGTTTTCCCCACGTCTCTCGCAGTGGCTCTACCTACCTTGAAGTAGCCAGTGTGTGTGCATGTGTGTGTGTGAATATGATACTTAGTTAATATTTTATACGGTATATATTAATATATAATATACAATATATAATACAAATATGTATAAAATATGTATAATATATATATCCCCAACATGTGGGCTTGAGGAGGAGTGCCTAAGCTGGATTGCAGAAGCTGCAGAGTCAAGCATGCCTGCCTCTAGTGAGAGAGGAGCAGTTTTAGCAGAATGCCAAGGCCTTGAGTTCTCTCCTGAGTTCCTTGCCTTACCTTGGGGACAGGGATTTAAAGTACCCCGTGGCCTTTTAATGTCTTTGGATTTGGGGGCAGGGTGACATTTTGGGGAGCTAGAAGTTCCTCATTATTAGGAGGGCAGAACAGAGTGTGTTGACTGGTGGGAGATAGGGCCAGAGCAAAAGCCTGGGGCCAGGAGTGAGGGGCTTTAATGTTAGGCTAAAGATTATAAGCTCTTAATGGATCCTGGATCCCTGTTCCGCCAACCCCCCATGTTTGGTTCTGCTTTGTCCTAGGCCCCAGCACCTCACTGTTCCTGTGTTGGGCAGTGTTTGTACTGTCTGGCCCTTTTTTAGCCCTGGTTCTGTGTGGCTTCACACATGCCCCTATTGTGACTGGCAGGTATTCCTGAAACCTTTACTTAACTTTGCCCTAATTAAGCTCATCAGAGGAGGTTTACACATCGCAAGCTTGCCACAAGCCAAGCTCTGGCTCTGCCTTTTTTTTTTTTTTGGAGATGAGAGTGCACGCGCATGAGCAGGCAGGGGAGGGACAGAGGGAGAGAGAGAATCTTAAGCAGTTTATGCTCACGTGTAGCATGATGTGGGACTCGACGTGGGGCTCGATCTCACGACCCTGAGATCATGACCTGAGCCAAAACCAAGAGTCCCACACTTAACCTACTGAGCCACCCAAGAACCACTGTCTAGTCCTGTCTTTTTTTTTTTTTTTTAAAATTTTTTTTTTATTTATTTGACAGAGACAGCGAGAGCAGGAACACAAGCAGGGGGAGTGGGAGAGGGAGAAGCGGGCCTCCCCCCAAGGAGGGAGCCTGATGTGGGACTCGATCCCAGGACCCTGGGATCATGACCTGAGCCGAAGGCAGACGCTTAACGACTGAGCCACCCAGGCACCCTGGTCCTGTCTTTATAAGGGGTAGAGAACCTGCCATTTTTCTGGCTGTGACTTACCTGCATGACTGGTGTCCTGGGAGCTTGAGGCTCAGTAATCATAGCCTTCAGCCCTTATAACCTCTCTGCATGCTAACTCTTCCTGCTGCTGAAGAGTTCCTATGAGTCCAGCAAAGCCCAGAAAAATCAGGCACTATCTACAGCACCTTGGCTGTGCAAGTAGGCGGTTCTAACAGGAACAGCCTAGAGTAACAGACTTACTGGTTTGGGATTTGATCTTTTTTGAACATAAACATAAAGAACTGCCAGCTATCACACTTCACAAGACTGTTAGGTTGAACCAATTTGACCTTGCTTTCAAATGTTTGTTAAATTACCCACTTTCTGTTACTCAAGTACCTATGTCCCCCACCCCCAACACCCAACCCACACTCACTTTTCTCTAAAGGTAGGTAGGGTTTGGTCCTTAGCAAGTCTTGCTCAGCAGGCTAAGTTGTAAATCTTGGGCTATATCACCTCCTGTGGGGAAGTAATTGAAATCCCCAACATAGCTTCATGCCCTAGGTTTTTATTTATTTATTTATTTATATTTATTTATTTATATTTATTTTATTTTATTTATTTATTTATTTATTTATTTATTTATTTATTTATTTGATCGAGCGCCCGAACAGGGGTAGGAGCAGAGGGAGAGGATGAGAGAGAATCCTCAAGCAGACTCCCTGCTGAGTGTGGAGCCCGACTCGGGGCTCGATCCCAGGACCCTGAGATCATGCCCTGAGCTGAAGTCAAGAGTTGGCCACTTAACCAACTGAGCCACCCAGGCCGCCCTGTGCCCTCAGTTTAACTGATTGCTCTCAGTAACCAGTTCCTTAGGAATGATATCAGCTTGATGTAGAGGAGATTTAGGGGCTGCAGAGATGAAGTTCAGCCTCTGGTTTGGCAGGAATCTCCCTGTCCTGGCACCAGTTAGCTGGGGTGGGACAGGGTCAGGGTTTGAGCTCTGGTAGGTAGGTTTCCCTGGAGAATCAAGAATATGCCTCCCTCACCTACTGAGGGTGCTAATCAGCATGCTGATCTGGGAAGGGGCTGGCTGGTAGGCCCTCTAGATCCTGCCAGTTGCCAACAGGGCTCACCAAGCCCTGGAGTAGACTCATTTCTGCTCTGGGCAAGCATGGCCCTGGCTGAGGCCCTGATGTAGAGCAGAGACTGAAACGGAGCTGGCAAACAGAACTTTGGGGGAGTCTTGCTTTAGGGAACTGGTCTGTGCTTAACTCCTGCTGATTGTTTCCTGGGTCTGGGCATCTAGGATCTTTCCAGGTAGGAGTGGGATAATAGATCCAAATAGGATCCTCAGCTCATGTGGGTGTGTGCCTGAGTCTTAAGGCAAATACTGGGCAAAGAGGCCCTTGGAAACCAAGGAGCCTCTGGAGTGAAGAGGAAGCCCCTATGGGTGTGCAGCCACGGATGTAGCCACTGGGTGATTCACAGATAACTTCCTCCTTGGGGTTTGCCTTGGTTTCCCCTCCCACTGCTGATTCTGCCCATTTTGAGTGCATCTTCCAGGACTCTTGTACAGAGAGCTCTTACTGGTGTCTTTCATACATTGACTCAGAGGTTTCTACTGGAAGGAGCTTCAGAGATCACCTGGTGCTACCTCTGTATTTTTCAGATGAAGAGACAGGTCCAGGGAGGGAAGTACCCTGGGCCAAGATCACACACCAGCTCAGGAACACAATCATGGACAGGGCCCAGGGCTCCTGATGTACCAGCCAGGCTTCTGTGCCAGTGTCTTGTGCCCCACACCTCACCCTGCTTCAGAAGGTACAGTTTATTATTCCTCCAGCAGAGGTTCAGGACCCACCAGGTGCCTGGCTCTTGGTGATCGGACCTGGTCACACATTCAGGGAGCTTGCTGGTGGCAGTGGTGGTGGTGGGGAGGTGGAGAGGGAGAGGCAAGGAAACAGGAGCAGTGGAATCACTTATTACCAGACAGGTGCATCCCAGAGAAGGGCCCATCTCAAATGATTTTAGGTATGACTCTTCTCAACTCATCTACAGATAGCCCAAAGACAGTGGCATGTCTTGCACAATTCTTTGCCCAGTGCTAGATGTTATTAGTCCTCAGTGATTGTTGCTGATGGAGTGGGTACGTTTTGCTGACCCAGCTTGCAGAGTGTAGGTTTTGGTGTGTCCGTCAGCTATATTATCTTGGGCACTCACTCCTAGCAACATCTGAGGGCCAGAGGAAGAAACCAAGCATCTGGTCCCATGGGGATGTCCAACATCCCCTTTAATGCTTGTTCCTTCCTGGGCTTAGATTTACAGAGTGGTGTCTAGTTTGATCTAAAGGGACGGTGACAGAGAGGCAAATGTCTCCACTCCCTGGATCACCCAAGTCCTCCTGTTGCCTAGGGTTTACCACCTCTCAGGCATCCCTGAACCCATGCCATCCTGCTACTCCTTTCAGTCAGTCCAGCCTCCTCCCATCTCCACCTCCAGGGCCCCGTCCATACTTGGCACAAGGACTATCATTCTAAAATGAAAACTCACCTTGGCCCTCACCGCTCTTGACAGTGCCCTTGACCTGATTGCAACCTTACCTCCTGCCACCCCCTACCTCCCATCACCCTTTAGCCTCACTCCTAAGTTGCTCCTTGTTCCCCAAACCTGCCACCCTCAGGCCTCTTCACCTTTGTGGGATTATTCTTTCTTGCATGGTTATTTCCTTCTTTGGGAAGTGTACTGGTCCTTCAGGACTCAAGCTGAATGTCCTTGTTTGGGTCTCTGACTTCCTCAGACAGTTACTCCTGGGCAGCCAAAGCCCCCGGTATGGACCTTCCTCACAGCACTGGGCCATATTACATGGTACCTGACCTTCTCATCAAATCGTGTGCCCCCAGCCGCTGGGACTGCTCACCCCTCAGTAACCCGAGTATCTGGCCCAGGGTACTCAAGACAGTTTGGTCGAACGTATGAATGAAGTGGGTGCCCCTTACTCTGCTTTTTGATTTTAAGTCCTGACAGAGCTGTGTGGAGGCCGTCCTGGCAGGCTCCCGGGATTCGAAGCCATTAGACCCCACATGGAATCCAGTGCCTCAAGTCCGACTGCTGCACCCTTGGTGAAGAGACAGTTCCATGTTCTCGTGGGTGTCACTGGGAGTGTTGCAGCCCTGAAGTTGCCTCTTCTGGTGTCTAGGCTTTTGGACATTCCTGGTGTGAGTATGCTTTTTAGACAGCGTAGCAGTCTGATGGTGGAGAGCTGCCACTCCTGGGGCTGGCCCATTTTTATGCAGTGCATGGGGTTTTTTGTTAATGGTGGTGTTTGTGGAAGCCCTCTGTGTGCATTAGTGTGTAGGGGAGGCAGGAGACAGTCCAGTATAACCGGAAACTAGATGAGAGGTTCTGGACAGTGTGAGGGGAGACTGGGAAAGGAATGCTTGGCTGAATAGAGGGTTTGGGTTCCCATATGCTGATCCTGGTTCCCCAAGGTGCTGGTGTGGGAGGAGGGCTGGCTGAAGAAATGCAGCACAGTTGCGGTCTCCCCTTGCTGCCTTGGGCACCCCACCCCCATTTCATCTTGAACACTGCGGCTCTCTTCTCCCTCCTTGTTAGACACTGTGGCTGTCCTGTCTGTCCAGATGCACTGGGATGTCAGGGGTACCCCATTGCCTGCGGCTCTGGTTTCAAACTGCTCCTTCAGGTGTTCAGAGATGCCCAGGGGCCTCCACAGTGTATACATCAAAATGTACCTCCATTTTGATCAATTTTGTATATTTATATATATTTTTATATAGTAGGGTCCTGGGGCAGATTCTTCTTCGGGAAAAGTTCAAGGCTTTAAACAATGTGAAATCCAGCAGGTATTGACCTCATTTCCTTGTCTGGTCTCTAAGGTCTGTTGAACTCTCACTGCCTACAGTCCACCCTAATGGCCTTTGCTTTGGCCTGGTCCCTATCAGGCTGTGCTGCCCTCCTATTCCTCTGCCTCTCCAAATTCTGCACAAACACTTTACAAGAAAGCCTTCCTGGCCTGCTTCAGCCCATGTGGCATTGTTCCCTTCCTTTTAAAACTCATTTGATGAGGGGCACCTGGCTGGCTCAGTTGGTAGAGCATGCGACTCTTGATCTCCAGGTTGTGAGTTCGAGCCCCACATTGGGCATAGAATTTACTTAAATAAAATACCTAAAAAAAAGAAAACAAAACTCATTTGTTGTATTATTATTTTTAAAGATTTTATTTATTTATTTCAGAGAGAGAGAGCACAGAGGGAGAAGCAGGCTCCCCACTGAGCAGAGAGCCTGATGTGGGACTCGATCCCAGGACCCTGAGATCATGACCTGAGCCGAAAGCAGACGCTTGACTGAGCCACCCAGGTGCCCTCATTTGATGTATTAAAGAAAAACCTGAGATGGGCAGTAAAGTGGTAAAAACAGGTTTTATTAAGAAAAACTACCACAATAAGGGAAAAGAGACCTCAGCAGAGAACTGGGCTTGATTCCAAATACAACAGGGAAAAGTGGGGGTTTGTAGGCAAGGAGCAGGTGGAGGGCGGTGGTTGGAAAATTACTAAGAGGAAATACCAGGACTAAGGGGGGTTCTGGCTAAACTGTCCTGACAGGATTCTTAGTGCAGGCAGGCCAAGGTGATCAATCATCACGTGAAGGTTGTTGAGGGATGAGGAGCCTGATGAGATATCCAGGCTGATCAGATATCGAGAGTGGGGGATTCTGGCTAAACCCACTTAACAGGAGCTTAAGGACCAGGCCCCAGGATAGGCTTAGTCAAAAAAGTGGCACAGAGGAGCCTAAGTAGAATTTGGTCTGGGAGAGAATCTTGACCAAGCTGTGGGGAATCTTAGGCTGTCTTTGACATTGCTCATGTTGTTGCACGTTCCTTTTGTTGGGTGCGCTGCTGGGGCCCAGGCTGTGCTTTTTCCTTGTATCGAGGCGTACCTTTTGCAGCGGCACAGGTGCATGTACCCAGTGTGTCCAGCAGGGGGCAGTGCTCACTTGCAGATGACCATGTCAGGACTGAAGGCAAGGGTGAGAAATCTTTTTTTTTCCCTTACTTTCCACAAACTTTCTACCCGGAAAGTCACCCCCTCACCTGACCCCTCGTGCTGGGACAAGCGGTGAAGCAGGCAGCCAGAGATGCCAGTCAGGCCAGAAGGGGGAAGGGAGGTGAGTCTCGTGGCTGCTGGGCACTGGTGCTGCTGGGCACTGGTGCTGCTGGGCAGTACTACCTGTGGCCTGCCCCACCTGTGGCCTGCCCCCTCTCCCCCGTAGGCCCAGAACCGTTGGTAGGAGCTGGCTCACTAGACCCATGAGGGCGGGAGGCCTGGAGGCCTGGAGGCCTGGAAGGGGTTTTTGCAGCAGTGAAAGCCTCTGTCCCCTCGGGAGGCAGGGAGCCGTGCAGTTCCCTTTTCCCATAGCCCCAGAGCAAGTGGATTTCCGGACTGGGGGAGGGGGGGCAGGGCGTCCTATCCCAGGAAACAGATGGGCAGCCTCAGAGCTGGGGGAAATGGCAACTCCCCCGCTTCCTGCCGTCCCGTGCAGCCAGCATTTACAGGGGTGTGAAGAAGGGGTTGCGTGAAGTAGGGAGGCTCTCCAACCCACCCCAGGCCCTGGCCCTCCGACGGGGACAGGCCTTGTCTGGAACAGGAACTTGGTTCTCTCTTGCTGGCTGGAGCCTATCTGAAAGTTAGGCAGCCAGAAGGGCACTGACCTAGGAGGGAGGACTTGGAGCCTGCTTTTCTCATTTAAAATAAAGGGGATTACAACCACCCATTCCCTCAGGCTCTTGTCAAGGCTTGGGGAGGGGACACCAATGAAAGTTCGTCGTCCTGTGCCAGGAGCTGTGCTTAGCTGCTAACAGTGTTTGTTTCCTGTCCTTCACCCTCTCCTTTCCCCTTGTCATGTCCTTTGGGCCAGCCACGCGGTGGGGTTGTTGGGGTTGGCGAGACAGCCCGTGTGGGAAGAGCTGTGGGATCCACAGTCCAGCTGCTCCCGTGGAGGGGCCTGCTGCCCTCTCACTTCTTGGCCAGCTCATCCCGTAGGTAGAACAGCTCTCCGAGGAGCCTGGGTTTCCTTGGTGGAGTCCTTGTGAGACAACCAGAGGGGGACCCTTGCTTGGCCCGATGCCGTGGCCTCCCCACACTCCCTGATGGTATTGATCTCTCCATTGCCCTCTTTCTGGGTCACCCCCAGGAGCAGTCTCTCCCTTGGAATGGTCCTCCTCAGCTGCTTGCCTACATCATGGATTCACACGCTCAGGGCTTTCCTGAGCTCCTGAGGCATTTCTAGATTTTGGCCAGCAGACAAGCAGCTGAAGCGTGGGCTGCAGGGAGCTGGGTGATTCTACAGATCTGGCTCATAACTGCAGGTGTACCTCATTTTATTGTGCTTTGCAGATACTGAGTTTTCTTACAAATTGAAGATTTGTGCCAACCCTGCATTGAGCAAGTCTATCGGTGCCATTTTTCCAACAGCCTTTGCTCACTTTGTGTCACCTTTTGGTAATTCTCATAATATTTCAAACTTTTTGATGATTTGTTATGGTGATCTGTGATCAGCGATTACAACTTGCTGAAGGTTCAGATGATGATTAGCCTTTTTTTTTTTAGCAATAAACTATTTATTAAAGATTTATTTTTATTTATTTTAGAGAGGGAGGGGGAGGGACAGAGGGAGAGAGAGTCTCAAGACCACGGGGCTGGATCTCACAACCCTGAGATCATGACCAAGAGTTGGATGCTCAACTGACTGCACCACCCAGGCGCCCCACAATAAACCGCTTTTAATTGAGGTATTGTTAGAAGTGGGGGAGGGAGAGTAAGGTATCCTCCAGCCTGAGAAGGCACTTTGAGACTGAAAAATGAGCCACTCCATTCCATTAGAGAGACTTATTCAGGGGAACTTGCCGATGGGTGGGAGGGCAGGCAGGTTGGGTGGATGACAGTCCAGGCGCTGCGCAGCTATGCTCTGCCAAGTCCACACCTCAGTCTACAGCTTTTATAGACTGAAGGGCATTGTGATGAGGTCAACGAGTCGTTCTCTAACGTGGTGCCGTCTGTGTACCACTTCAGGGAAGGTCAGAACAACCCTTCCCACATTCTGGTCAGGGCAGACATTAACCACCACAAGGCCTGAAACACACAGTCTAGAGGGAGGTCATTGCTCGGGCACGAACAAGATGGAGAGTCCAGTATGGGGTCAGTGTTGTCTGCACTCCTCCAGGCACGCGTCTTGCTTTTTTTTAGACATAATGCTATTGCACACATAAGAGACTACAGTATGGCATAAACGTGACTTTTATATGTGCTGGGAAACCAAAAAACTTACTTGGCTAGTTTTATTGAGATACTTGCTTTATTGCAGTGTTCTGGAACCAGACTCGCAATGTCCCAAGATAGGCCTTTATTCCTGACTCACAAGTGTGTCCAGGCATCCCAGGAGAGCCACTGGCTAGAGCCTGACCAGGGAGACTGTGGAGGGGTGCAGGAGAGGGGTGGATTTGGCCTCATGACTCACACACCAGCAGTCAGGCAGAGTGCCACTGCCAAGAATCCTGGGATGCTTTCTGTGGTGGTGAGGAGTTGGACAGTGGGGGCCGGCTGTACCTCAAGAGAGGCAGCCAAGCCTAGAGGATTTCTCATGCTGGGATTCTGGGTAATTCAGGTCTTCTTTATGGCCTCGGTCTTCTTAGCCCTGCAGTGAAGAGGGGGGGCGGCAGGTACTAAAATGATGTCTTCAAGGCCTCTTCTGGCACTAGTGGTCGAAGATTCTAGAGGTGAGGGCATAAAGGAATAGGACCCAAAGGCGGCCTGAGAGAAGGTCCTGGGATGCGGGAGCTTCAGGGTGTTTGCAGTTCCACAATTGTCATGTAACTGGGTGGAAGTTCTGTCTGAGCACCCCCTCACTTGGATGGAGGAGACAGACGGCTCTTTAGCTTTTGCCCCGGCAGGCGCTCAGCAGGGCTGCAGCCAGCGGGGCATTTCAAAAGGTGGAGAAAGTCTCCCATTTAGGGAGCTGGCAGGACAAGTTTAAGTTTCTTTCTTTTCTTTCAGATTTTATTTATTTATTTGACAGAGACAGCCAAAGAGGGAACACAAGCAGGGGAAGTGGGAGAGGGAGAAGAGCAGGGAGCCTGATGCAGGGCTCGATCCCAGGACCCTGGGATCATGACCCGAGGCAAAGGCAGACACCTAATGACTGA